AGTTACTTCTGAAGATCAAATAATTTGAAATGCGTCATATTACATTTGCTCTCCTTGGCAGCGTTCGATACTTTTCGGTAGATGATCACTGGGGGTGGGTGTGATCGCTGAATTTGGAGGCTCGGCTATTGGTTCCAGGGGCTTCGCTTATCTGGGAATTCCTGCATCCAACAGTTGTTTTGTACCATGAGCACTAAGTGATGCTATTACTTGCAAATATGGGTCTCATTCATTTCTGCCTAGCATGGAGTCCCTGTCCTGGAATCTGACCTATGTTAGTAATCAATAACTTTTACTTCCAAATAAGCATGGCTATTTCAAGAGTTTTATTTTCAACAAGTTGTAATACAATGAGGAATTATGGACCAGAAGGAATTTTGAAAGAAGTGATCAATGTTTTGTGCCGAAAAGAATGCATGTAACCATCTATGTAACTGTACCAGTATTTGTTTTACACTGTTTAATTAATTTTTTATAAAAGCTATATTTGCATTGTGTTTCATTGCTAGTCATGTTAATTATCAAATGTGTCGATTCCTTCTCAAAATAATGACTTAGTTTGAGGGTCCGTCCTTGTACATCATGCATGTATTTGAATTTCCAAAACAGAAAATGTCTCCAGCTTAGACAGTGTGTATGGCCCGTGGAGATATTCTCAAAACTGTGGGTCATTGATTTGTCACTGAGCCAAATGTCCTGGTGCAGACTTCCTCCACAGAAAAGTCTCTTCAAAGTCAACCAGATAATTTTGCCCTTGGCCATTGAAAATAGGGTTGGATTTGCTCGGTCTGTTTCGAAGAGCCAGAGCAGGGTGAGTCATTTCCCATCAGGTATTACTTGTGAAATGAACCCTTCAATGAAAGGCTGGCCTCATGCTACTGTCCTAATTATCTGCCATTAGTTTAACTCTAATTCAACTGTTCTTGGCATATATAAATACTTTCTCTGTGATTTTATTAAATATTGCCTCATAGTATTTCTTAACAAACCTTCCCTGGGCAAAATTATGACTATGTCTTGGGTACCCTATAATCCACAGTTCACAGGGGAGTTCTGTCTGCCTACAACACGTTCTCCGTTCCTTAATTAGCCTGCTCAGTGCCTGTGGGACAGACAGCCGATGCTGTCTCTTTAGTCGTCAGGATTGTTACAGGAGCCACGTATGGCCGACAGGAGGACCTCATCCCACTGACCATAGAGATTTGTTAAGGAATAAGCAAGTGGCGAAAGCTGGGCTACCCAGAGTCCTTCCTGGAAAATACCTTTTCTTTTCTCTGCGAAAGTGAGCCTGGGGCCAACTGTGGATGTCTTACTACCCAGTGGGGAGAGAAAACGGAGGATGGAGCCAAGAGAAGCCCAGAGGAGAGGGAGACCGGCCCTGATTGGATGTTAACTGCTGTAGTCCATCCCACTTCCAACCCACCCCTTCGGTGACAGCTGTATCCCCTAGAACCCACCCCGCCCAGCCTCTCCTTTTCCTTGGGCTAATTTGAATGAGTTCTGATTGCTGTAACCCAAAAGGTCCTGCAAATGCGTCTTGTCAAGTTTGTGCTATAAATGCTTTTGCCTCTGTGAAAACCCCACAGCATCATCCCAGCTCCGCCTCCCCTCCCACGTGAGGGGCACAGTGGACGCTCTCCTCTAGAACCACGGCTATCCAGCTATCCAGTTTGTGCCCCAGGCCCTTAGCACTTTGCCATGCACCTGACTTGGTCATTTCGCACCAAGTCTTTTAGAGACATATGTAAAAGACTTACTCGTTTTTGAGAATATTTGCATCTTGTAAGAGAACTCAGTATCCTAAGCACAGTACAATATTTTACTATGTAAGAAACATTAAATAAACTCAAAATAAGGCAAGTGGGGTTATTTGCATGTTCCTGGACTTGGGTTAAAAACAAAACAAAACTGCATTCACTTACTTAAAAATACCTACTGTTGCTTCCTATGAGCTAGTCACGGTGCGAAGCCCGCCTGGTTTCTGCCCTCCAGGAAACTGCCCCTTTTCTATGGGACAAGGCTGATGTGAATCAAATGAAACTGCAATTAAATAGAGCCCTGGCTGGTTTTGCTCAGAGGTTAGCGCATCAGCCCGTAGACCAGAGTCACGGGTTCGATTCTGGTCAAGGGCATGTACCTCGGTTGCAGTGTGGTCCCTGGCCCCAGTCGGGGTTGTGCAGGAGGCAACCAATTGATGTGTCTCTCTCACATCTATGTTTCTCTCTCTCTCCACCCCTCCACCCTTTTCTTCCTCCCTCCCTCCCACTCTGTCTGAAGATAAATGGAAAAATATCCTTGGATGAGGATTGAAAAATATATCTCTCTCTATTATATATATATTTACATCTATGAGATAGACTAGTCTTTGGGCACAGGTAACAGGACTGTGGTTCTGGCGTTCAGGGGTAACTGATTCCTCGAGGAAGAGAGAATGGAGTATAACTGTGAGGGCTGAAGAGCAGTTGGTGGATGCAAACCTGAGAGTGAGGGTAACTTCCAGGAAAAGGAGAATCCTCCCAGGAGGGGCGTGGCTGTTTGGAGGTTCTCAGGTGGAAGGTGCATGACTTCTTCGGAGACCTGGACCAAGGGAGAGTGGCAGCGTTGAGACGGAAGCGGTGACAAGGGACCAGACCAAGCCAGGGCTGTGAAGTCACAGTGAGGGTGGCGGTCCTTCCTGTTCAGGAGTGGGAAGCCACTGAAGTATTTTAGTTCACAGAGTGACACGGCCAGGTTCATGTTTTAAAAGTTCGGTTATCACCGTAACTTAGTGATTCCTAAGCCTGGCTCATATTAAAATCACTGGGGAAGGAGTGGGGCTCAAAATAAAATGCTGTGATCCGGTTCCTATTTCAGTCCAATAGAATCATAATCTCTGGGGAAGGCCCCTGGCTCTGATCACCTTTCAGGTTCTCTGTAGATTCGAACATAGAGCCAGGCTCGATAGTCAGAGATGTAGGCCATGGAGATGTAGCTTAATGAGATCGCTGATGATTGAGGCACCCCAAGCTGGCTTCTCAGTATAACTCAGGGTTACTTTCCCCAAAACTGATCTTATCTAGAACTGCATTAATAGAAGTATATTGCCTCATTGAGAGAGGCAGTTGTCCCTCTAGTCCCTGAATTAGACCCAGCACACTTGAAAAGTGTGTTCACCTCTCAGCACCAAATTTTACAAGGAAATTGGCTAAACTGAAACATTCCTAGAACAAGGCAAACCAGATGATAAAAGGAATCTAGACCATGATGAGGAGGAATGACCCAATAGTACCAGATATCTTTAAACTGTAAGTCAAAATAGTTCTTTAAAAGGGTGAGTTAGGACTCCTGTTTTTAAGGAGGTGGAAGATGGTTATTTATTCAAATGGTAAATATGGGGGCCGACTGCAGAGCAGTCCTAGACACTGGAAATATTGCAGGAGGTGGTGCAGAGGAAAACCCTTGTCCTCACGGAGCTCCTGTTCTAGTTTAGAAGGATGTGTTCTCATTCATTTGATCCTTAAAGTCAGAATTTTTAACTGAACTTCATGATTGGAATCTGTGTGTGTTATAGGGAGATATATTTCATTGACTAATTTTAGAACATTAAAAGTAGAAATCTCTGAAAAGCAAAGAGGTTAACATCTGTGGAAGAATTCCAGTAGGATGGTCATCATACAGGGTGTTCAGAATCAAAGGCAAGGATTAAAAGGTGTGATAGGAAGGAGTCTGATGAGTGATCGAGCCCAGTGGTCTCTAAAGTCCTTTACAAAACTGAACACCAAATATAATAGTATAAAATCATATCGGTGCTCCACACTCTGAGCATTTGCTAAGACTGAGCTGTACACTTTGCTAAGTGCTTTATAGTGCATCATCTCTCACAGGCTTGTAGCACTTATTACTCAGATGAGAAAAAGGAAAGAGTATCAAGCCATAATTTTGAAAAGTGACAGCATTGCTCCTACATTTATAAAGTGAAAATAAAGTGAAAAAATTAAAGACTTGATTTGACTCACTGATCAGTGACGGAACCAGCTGTAGGGTCAAGTCGGTCCCAGAGTGTCTGAGGACCTCCCTGTTTTAGGTGCATTGATACAGGAATGTTAGCACGTGACTGCTAGAGTAGATACAAAACTGGTTTATGTCTTATAGTGCCACACACCATCCGTGTGGGATTCTTATTTTTCTTCGGGAGAGAAATCGTTGGTATCTTTAACACACAGAAGTCTCCACGGTAACGTGTAACTTGACTAAATGTGGGGTCTTTATTCAGTAGTGAACAGTGGCTTGAATGTAGCGCATCTCCCTTAAGCAGGACTTGAATGGCAGTTAAAACAGTTGTCACGTGAGCCTTTCAAAGAACACGGTGAACTTTTGGTATTTTTTTTTTTCATGTTCTGGACGATTTTTCATAATATTAGGAAAGTTAAGTAAATTTTTTGGATTTTCCAGCTAGTAGTATTGAAGCTGGGTGTCAGACATCCACACTGACTGAGCCATGTGGCAAAGATTTGGGGGGATGCCAAGGAGGCATCTTTCAGATTCTATCACCACTGTTCTGCTTTTGAATGAGTCTCAGCTTGGTTTTTTTTTCAGTTGTGTGTCTGTGGGTTTTTTTTTTTTTTTTTGCTTTTTTTTTAATGGATTGCTAAGACATTTGTAAACCATTCAAAATGAACTATTCTTCCTCATTTCTTTCTCCAAAAAGTAGCTAGACGCACCCAATATGATTGATAAGTAGTGAGAGGTTCTTCACCCACGTGCTGCTATTGACTCTAAGACGAGGTCTCTGGAACCCCAGGGAGAAATATGATTCATCAGGATACGTAGCAGCTATTTTCTCAGTAAGATTTCTTCCTCCATGTATAGGATTTAATGTTGTTGTTGGTTTAGGAGGTCGCAGTTACCAAACATGGGGACTGCAGTTGTGAATGGCCTCCTATTTTTGGAATGGTGACCTTGAGCTCTTAAGGTTTGGAGAGAGAGTCCAGTTTTCTGCAAATAGCACTTTGTTCGGGAGCATGTACCCCACGCAGGTTCGGCGGCTCTTTCCCTTCCCTGAGAGTGAGTCTTGAGTCAGGCTTCAGTGTTGTTTGGGGAATAAATGGAAAGTGTACCTGTGCACTCGGCTTAATGTTCCTCTGAGGCCTTAGGACACTGCCTGTGTCTCCGGTGATGCCCCTGTTAGTGAAGGTGGCAGAAAACTAGCCCATCGAGTAGTTTATTCTAGGAGCTCAAGCTAGATGGAAGGGTACAGTTTAGCTTTTAGGTAAGAGAAGGGGTCTTTTTTTTGCTGCATTAAAAGAAAACTAAATGGAAACTTATTTATAGGCAGTGTAGTAAACACTCTGCATGGATTGTCTCCAAACCCTTAACAATTCCATGAGTTAGATCCTGTTGTTGCCCACATTTTGCAAATAAGGATCCTGAGGTCCAGAGAGTTAAGCAAGTTGACTGGGATTCACAGACAGAGCTAAGATTAGTCCCAGGCCAACTAATTACAAGCCTACCCTTGTGAAGGTTACCTGATACCATCTCTCCCAAATGCTGCTGGCATAAAGAAAGCTCACAGAAAATTAGCCCAGATTCGGTTTTCTAGCCTCAGCCCTGGTATTCATTGTCTTTGCAATTCTGGACGAGTCATCTAATCTGTCTGGGCCTCTGTTTTCCTCTGTTAGCATGAAGGGTAGAAACAATTTGGATTGGATGGTCTCTGGGGTTCTTCCAACTCTGAAGTTCTCTGATTCTATAATTGCATCCTGACCTTAGAGGTGCACATGGTCCCTTCACACACACACACACACGCACACACACACAGACATTGAGTCCTGCTGAAAGTGCCCATTGCGATTGGATTCTAAACTCAAGACCTCACCAAATCCTTTTATCTGCAGCAGCCCCTCGGGAACACACAACACTTGTACAATCTGCCAAGAAAGTTCTTTAAAATAAGTTGCTAATGGGGGTGTAATTTCAGAAAGTAAAACATTATTACGGAAAGAAAAAACTCAAAACAGATGAGACTCTCTTTAAATCACCTCTTTTTTACAGTGTTACCTTGACAACTTAGCTTTGGCTCTTTAGATACTAAGTTTTCAGCATGGAAAAAGGAGAAGGGGTGGCCTCTTCATAGCTCTAGAGATTTCCTCTTGTTTCATGGAAAAAGGACATGTCAGAGGTAGACCACAGAAGCCAGCACAATGGACACAGGACATCTTGGTGGAGTGGCATCCAGAAATAATCACAGGAGCACAGAATTAGCACACATTATGATTAAAGGTGCATTCTTTTCTCCTTCCTCTTTCCTGTCATCATAGCACACAGGGCAACAGCCTGTAACATGGTGCATTTGGGGACCAGCACAGTTACAGTGCAGAGAGCCACAGAAGTGCCTAAAAAGCAATTGCATTATCTTTAGTTGCGCGCACGCATCAGGGTGAAGGCAAGCTCTCAGTGCTGAACCGGTCTGCAAATCCTAAACAGCGCCCCCCCTCCACTCCCCCCCCCCCCAGCAGCTGACATTGCGAGGGAAGACTGAGTCCACGCAGGTAGGGAGATCACATGATCACATTAGGATTCACACCTCTCAGCTGCCCTAGGCTTGTGGTCAGGGCTGGGGGGACCAGGGGGCTGAGGGTCAGCCAGGAGTGAGTGACAGAAAGCGACAACTTCCTTATGTCCGGCATCTAGCCCGCAGAGCAGAGCCGGGACGAGGGCTGAGCCCTGGGACCGGTTCTGGAAGCAGCTCCTTTGTGGCGGGACTGGAGCCCGGCAGCCGCGGGCGCTGTTGCAGGGGGCCGTCCGCGCTCCCACATGTGTTTCCCATTGATAGCTGGAGACAGCCCAGTAGCTGGGGCTGGGCCTGACAAAGCCGGATTGAAGCGGAGACAGAGTACGGTTTCAAAGCAGTCAGAAAAAGAACGGGAATGCTGTTCAGGAAATTCTTCAGGCATGGGCAGGGACTTGGCTGCAGTTCCGCAGCTGGAAAATCTGACTGGGGCGGCTTCTGAGCGCGGGCTGGGCCTGCTCACACTCCGCAGGCCGCCGCCTGCACAGCCTGGCTCGCTCGGACCCGCGCCCTCCGCGGCTTCGGGAAGCAGACGAGGTAGGGGCTGCTCCCCTGCTGTCCACGCTTCCCCCCACTCCCTGAGCCTGCTGTCTGTTTGCACTTCCTCGACTTTCCAGGGTTCCTGCGTGCGTGCGTGAGTGTGTGCGCGCGTGTAAGTTACAGCCCCATCCCTGAAACACTGGGGGGACTTGTAATCTCTTCTTCCCCGCCCCCTTCAAGGTCTGACTTTCCGCGGGGCAGGGACACTTCTGCAAGCGAGCAGTTAGCTTGGCAGCAGGACCTGGAGAAAGAAAAGTATGTGAGTTCGCGTACTGTCACCCGGCTCCCACTTTCGGGAACTTTTCTGGGAGCAAAGACAGTGCATTGGCAGGAAAGATCAGTTTAAATGAAACTGCCTGCGTTCTTTGCTTCTGGAGCGTTTCGGGAGGAGTGTGTTTTAGCAGAAAATGGCTCTCATTTCAGGAGGGAATTCGAGTTGGAAGTTTCTGTTTGGGATGACACTTGCAGGAGCAGGATGTGCCCATGAGTTCCTGGCATCTTTTATTCTGACATGAGGTTGTGAGGGTCGTTAAAGGAGCCCAGCGAAGTGCTTGCCTAGAAATAGGCAGGATCAACATTTGTAATTGTTTCTATAATAATTTTTAATTGGGGGGAGGGGGGAGTGGAAGACATCACTGGCAGTTTTAGTTTTACTCTAAAAAATACTTCTATATTTTATGAACTATAGATAATGAGTAACAGAAATTCACTCAAAATCATTGTTAAAGATAGACATAAGGGTGTGAATTTTATTTTATTGATCAGTTGATTTTATTTTACACCTCACTGAAGAGTGAATTTTGAAAAAAAAACATCTAATTTTAAATAATCTTTCTCACATATATCAGCTGTAATGCAATATAAATTTCTACTCCCTGAGGAAAGCTGTACCTTATTCTATGCTTAGCAATTATAAAATATAAAAAATAATGGAATTGCGTTGAAGAAACTGGTTCAGCTGAGAAAGAAGTAGACTAAATTTCACTACAACTTGTGATTCCTGGCGGAATAGTTGGTGACATCTAGAGAGTTTTCCAAAGGGGCTTTGGCCAAGAGTCTGGTTGGGAAAACATGCATGGGTTCTTGGATACGTCTTGAACAGCAGGAGACTAGTAGGTGCACCTCTCCAAAAACAGGTGTGTGTTTACTTCAGTTCTAAAATCTCGGAACAAGTAGAGAATAGTACAGAGTAAGATTGATGTGTAAATCAAGAGTTGGGGGCTGGGTTTTCCCGTCTTTCTGCGGGGACAGCCTAGGACGAGAGGGAAGATGTTGTGTCCTGTTGGTGGAATTTGATTTTCAGCCAGGCATTTTATTGTCTCCATGAGCTCTGCACTTGGAGGAGGGAATGGGGCAGCTGGATTTCTTATTCTAAGAGATGATGACACACTAATCTTCATCCACCTCGTCTTTGTGTTGGGTTGGGATGGGGTGGGCTGGCAGGCTACAGGACACGGACCGAGAAAGGGACGCAGTTAGACGTCAGAATAGGCAGTGATTATAGTGTTTTTCTTAAGTGCCTACTGGGTGAGCAAAATGCCAAGAGCACTTAGGAACCGATGTGAACTGAAGCCAAGCCCACTGCCAGTGAGCTGCAGTGCCACCCTCGGCTAAATTTAGTGTGCGTGAGCCTTGAGCCAGCAGGCGTGAAATAGCACCATGGGGCAGCGCCTAAAACTTGGGAGAAACTCTGTAGTTACCCCTTTTAGAACTATGGGGGGTGGGGTGGGGCTCAGGCTCCCTTGACATTTGAAAAGAAAGAAATGGAGTGGAGGTTGGGGAAGAAATCCAGGGCAGAGGTGTAGGCAGCGAGGAGAGGGGAGGGGCCACAAACTGGGCATTGAGGGTGGAGGGAGGGGATCTGTGCACCTTTTGTAAGATTGGCATCGTCCAAGGTTTCAGATTTCCTAAGCAAAGAGGGACCAGGCTCTTAAGACCTCGTTTGTGACCCACGTTCATTCCGCCCAGTGATATTCCTGCTGGGGGTGTCGCATGAAGGGAACAGCCGGTGGGCGGATGCTCGCAGGGAGCAGGGCTTGTTCAAGGCTCTGCTTGCGGACCCTTCAGGGTTAAGACAAACTTCTGGAAGGGGATGTGAAATGTTGCGGATGCCTTGTGTTAAGGAGTTTGGTTAACTTTGTATTTTATTTTAAAAACCACCTCCAGTGGCATGTAGCACGTTGTTGGTGAAAGTGTTTAATATTTGTTTCATAACAGAAGGAGGTTCCTGGAATCATGGGTTTCACCATCTGGAAGGGATTTGGCTATCCTGTAGTTCAGAATTCTTTGCGTTTGAGTAACATAGCAAACCCTCTGCACTGGAAAAAAGATCTATTCCTCCTCTGTTGATGTCATCATTTATAATACTGTGATTTATTTATTTATATTTTTTAAAATTGAATTTACTGAAGTGACATTGGTGAATAAAAGTATATAGCTTTCAGGTGTAAATTTTGTAATACATCATCTGTACATTGTACTGTGTGTTCACCCCAAGTCAAGTCTCCTTCCATCACCATTTACCACCCCTATACATTCTTCCACCCCCTCCCCCGCCCCCTCCCCCTCTGGAAATCACCATGCTGTTTCCTGTGTCTATGAGGTTTGTTGTTGTTGTTTTGCTTTGTTTTTTTGTGTAGTCCCTTCAACTTTTTTGCACAACCTTATAATCCCCCTCCCTCCTGATAGCTTTCAGTCTGTTCTGTGTCCATATGAGTCTGTTTCTATTTTGTTTGTTAATTTATTTTATTAGATTCCACATATGAGTGAAATCATATGGTGCTTGTCTTTTTCCGACTGGCTTATTTCACTTAGCATAATGTTCTCCAGGTCCACCCATGTTGTCCCAAAGTGTAAGATTTCCTTCTTGTTAATGGCCCAGTAATATTCCATGGTGTAAATGTAACACAGTTTTGTTTTTAATCCACTCATTTACTGGTGGGTACTTGGGATGCTTCCATATTTTCGCTATTGTAATAATGCTGCAATGAACATAAGGGTACATATATTCTTTCGAATCAATGTTTCAGATTTCTTTGGATATATTTCCAGAAGCAGAATTGCTGGGTCATAAGGCAGTTCCATTTTTAATATTTTGAGGTAACTCCATACCGCTTTCCACAGTGGCTGCACCAATCTGTAACCCCACCAACAGTGCAGTCGGGTTCCCTTTCTCCCACATCCTTAGACCTGTACCTACAGGAGTGTGCCATTTTGTGTTACAGCACACTCTGTTCCTTTCTCATTGCCCGTGACTGAGTGGAATCACTTGTCAACATGGGCACAGAGTGAACACAAACTCAGACACCAAAACTGTGTGGCCATGAATCAGATCTACATTTTCTAGATCAGAATTTGCATAAATAAAATAAACATGTAAAAAGCAGAGACACAAGAACAAATCTGGTCGAGAACTCTTCAATCCCTATGAAGATCTGAGGATTCCTGGTGACTTAAATGATGCCGGTCATGGCCAGTCCTGGTTGCGAGGAGGACCCCTGCAGGAATCTGGGGAGAAGCACCCATCTGTGTTTGTAATGTAGCCCAGCCACTTTTATTTGGTTCATATATTGGGTTTTTGCAAGAGACTTCACTTGAAAAGAGTGTCAATGCTGTGTCAGTGCAGATTACATTTGACTGCAAGTAACACAACGCCGCTCACCGAACTCTAGCTGCCTGAGGCGTTCTTTTTGCACATGTAGGTTTAGGCTACTCCTTGACACCCAGGACCGCACCCAGCACAGGAGCAGAAGTTAAGCAGTGTCCCCAAGGACCAAAACTTCCTTTCTGCTCCACCATCAGGCCAGCTCAACTCTCCATGCTTATCTGTGCGCCCCGTTTAAGTCCGGCCATGGCTGCAGGACATGAAGGTGGTAAATATTTCCCCCCATGAACCTTGGCTCCTGTGGTCACGGAGGGATCACACACACCCTCCATGTAGACTTTTCCTAGTGTCCCAGAACTGGTCACGTGCCCACTGGCCCCATGGAATAGTATCACCATGAGACCTTCAGGACAAGTATGTTTCTCCTTCTAGGTGTGAGTGGGAGCCCACAAATTTATTCTTTCTTTCTTTCTTTCTTTCTTTCTTTCTTTCTTTCTTTCTTATCCTCATCCAAGAATATTTTACATTTATCTTCAGACAGAGTGGGAGAAAGGGGGAGGGGGAGAGAGAGAGAGAGAGAGAGAGAGAGAGATCGATGCGAGAGAGACACATTGATTGGTTGCCACCTGCACGACCCCGACCGGGGCTGGGGATGAACCACAACTGACATAGGTGCCCTTGGCCAGAATCAAACCCGGGACTCCCTGGTCCACAGGCTGATGCTCTAACCGCTGAGCCACATCAGTCAGGGTGGATCCCACAATTCAGATCCAGGGCTTTCTGCCTAATAATGAGCATCCAGTGTTCTAAGGGCAGTGAAGAGCAGGGAGGATGTCTCTGGGATGGGCGTGGAGAGTTTTGGCCGCACATATTTACTATTAAAAAAAAAAAAGGATAAACAAATACATTTGAAAAACACTGCTCTAATATCTGTTTCTTCCATTTTCTTGTCCTTTATTTTTTTTTTCCAGCTTTATTAGGTATAACTGACACACCGTGGAATTCACCTGTAAGAATACAATAGTCTTTACTTAGTACATTCATACAGCTGTGCAACATCCAGGTTTAGAACACTTCCCCCGGCTCGTTAAGCCAGTTCTTGTCCACGCTCCCAGCCCCAGGTAACCACTGACCTGCTTTCTGTCTCCATGGTTTTTCCTATTCTAGAAATGTTATGAATGAGACATTAGGTGGCCCAGAGTGGGGTGTATATTTGCGAGGGTTGTATGTGCTGTTGAAAACAAGGCATTTCTTCCATCTTCAAGAAGTGGACTCTGACCCCAGAAGAGATACATTAACCGGCCTGAGAAACGCAGGCAGTTCCAGGACTCTGAGTCGGCTGCGACTTCATGTTACCTGCGTTGGCTTGATGATAGCTGAAGCCATGCGAGAG